ACAAAGTAATGGAAGTTGTAAAAGGTAAAAAGGATTCCTTTAAGGAGTGGAAAGCTAGTCACAGTGAGGCTGATAAAACACAGGCTATGGAAAATAAAATGCAAGTCTGCGGAACACAGGCTATGGAAAATAAAATGCAAGTCTGTGGTCAGGCAGGCAAAAAGGGAGTATGAGGAGCATATAGTGAAAAACGTAAAGACCAACAATAAAACTTCCTTCAAATACATTAGAAGCAGGAAACCAGCCAGGGAGGCTTTCCCTATGAGGAAAGGTTAACGCACTTAGGGCTCTTTAGCTTGGAGAAACGACGACTGAGGGGTGACATGATTGAGGTTTATAAGATTATGCATGGGATAGAGTAGGTAGAGAAAGAAGTACTTTTCTCCCTTTCTCACAATACAAGAACTTGTGGGCACTCAATGAAATTGCTGAGCAGTTGGGTTAGAACGGATAAAAGGAAGTACTTCTTCACCCAAAGAGTGATTAACACATGGAATTCACTGCTACAGGAGGTGGTGGCGGCTACAGGCATGGACGGCTTCAAAAGGGAATTAGATAAGCATATGGAGCAGAGGTCCATTAGTGGCTATTAGCCACAAGGTATAGATAGGGACTCTGGGGCAAGTGGTGCTCTGTCTTCTTGGTGCTTGGGGGGGGGGAAACAGTGGGAGGGCTTCTAATGTCCTGGCCCCACTGGTGGACCTCCTGATGGCACCTTGTATTTTTGGCCACTGTGTGACAGAGTGTTGGATTGGATGGGCCTTTGGCCTGATCCAGCATTGGCGTCTCTTATGGCATATTATGTTAAGTTGCTTTTTTCTCTGCTCCCCCCAACCTCAAGCCTACCCAGAGAGGTTAACACTGGAAAGACCAGTTGGGGAGGCATGCCTCCCTTTCACTTACCCAGCCGCTCTGCCAGGAGCCACACAATATGTGTGAAAGAGCTACATGCAGCTCCCGAGCAGCAGTTTGGTCACCTCTGTTCTAGAGAAAGAGGTGTGCTTTTTCTCCTTTTTCATAGCCAAGTGTTAAATAGACATGGTGGAGTTCTCCATGTTTCTTCGATTTTAAAACTATACTTAATAATGGCCTCCTGTAAGGCCACAGAACTGTAAATCAGGAATAGGTAGGCTTCCCAAGTCCCCCTGGGGGGCGGGGAAACCCCCGCCCCAGAGGCCCGTTCCCCGGCACTGGCGGATTGGGCCCTGGGGGGAACCCCACCCCGGCGTGCGCGTCACCAGGTAGTGACGTTATGACGCCGGGCACGCTGGGGGCGGGGGCCATGGTCATACGAGGGAAAACTCTATGGTTTTCCCTCAGATGGTTGTGGCCCCGCCCCCAGCGTGCCTGGCATAATAACGTCACTTTCTGGTGACGTGTGTGTGGCGCGCGCGCAGTTTGCACGCGCACGCTCCAGCCGCTGGACCAGGAGTCCCCCGGTAAGTACATTTTTTGACTTGGCAACCCTAAGAATAGGGTTGCCAGGTCTGGGTTGGGAAATACCTGGAGACTTTGGGGGTGGATCCAGGAGAGGGTGGGGTTTGGGGAGGGGAGGGGCCTCAGCATGGTACAGTGCCATAAAGTCCACCCTTCAAAGCAGCCATTTTCTCCAGGGGAGCTGATCTCTGTCAGCTGGAGATCAGTTGTAAAAGCAGGAGATCCCCAGGCCCCAACTGCAACCCTAATCAGGAAATTGTTTTAGTTTATTTAAACATTCATATCTCTTTCCTCCCCCTTGCCTTTTCCCCCCCAAACACAATTTGAAACCACCCACAGGTTACAGTAGATGCTATTAGGCAGAAATGATTTACTTTTTGAGCTTTTATGTCAATAATGTAAACCGGTCCAGATTTGAATGCTTGTTTTTTCCTTATTGAACATCACTCAGCAAATGCTTTCCTAGAAGTATTTCTACAAAGAGTGATCTTTATTGTAGTGGCAGAATAATCAAGCATGCTCACCACAGCTTTTGTAGTTGTCTGGAACATAGCCTACTTGTGTGTATGAATGAATGAGAGTCCTTGTCGAGAATACTGGACATTACCCTATCCATATACAATATCTGTTCCCATGTTAACAATGGTTCATGCCCATAACATCTGATTAAAAAGCTAAAAACACAAAACCAAGCAGGCCAGTGAATGAACTTCTGTTGTTCAGCAAATAAGACCTGTGCTGTCTTCCACAGCTCCTTGTTCTTCCCCAGCTTCTCTGTATGACTTTCCTTCTGTCTTTTTAAAGAATGGCTCCAAAGTTCATTTCTATAGGTAAAGGTAAAGGTTCCCTTGCTCGAAAGCCAGTCGAGTCCAACTCTAGGGTTGCGGTGCTCATCTCCGTTTCAAAGCCGAAGAGCCAGCGCTGTCCGAAGACGTTTCCGTGGTCATATGGCCGGCATGACTAAAAACCAAGGCACACGGAACGCTGTTACCTTCCCACTGAAGTGGTACTTATTTATCTTCTTTTGCATTTCCTTGCTTTCGAACTGCTAGGTTGGCAGGAGCTGGAACTAGAGACGGGAGCTCACTCGGTCATGCGGCAACTTGGGTCTCGAACTGCGGAACTACTGACCTTCCACAGCCTGAAGTTCAGCGTCTTAACCACTTGAGCCACCGCAGTTTCTTCGCAAATGTCTGCTACTAACCTTGTAGTTTCCAAATTGGGCCTTCGTAGAGTACAGAGACTAATTCGATGACAGGAGGAAGCCTTACCGTGATATGGGATATAAAGGTAATGGTACTGTTTCAGATTAATGCAATTTGGCATATTTGTTTGCATGCTGTTGTAGTGGGAGAAAGTAAGACACAGGGAGGGGGAAAGCAAACTTGAGCCAAAAACTGGAATCGAGAACCACAAGGGTAAGAAAGAAGTTTGACAAAGTAGTGGGAGAACCAGATACAAGCATGGGAGATATATTTTCCACATTTTAAAAAGCAAAACAACCTTTTGATGAAGCCATTTCAGAAGACCTTTCCTGTGTATATAAGATGGTAGTCATACTGACAAGAGTTTTTGCTCAGTGAAAGGTCAAGTTTTACATAAAGTTTTATGGAATTTGTGAAGAAACACTTGCATTAAGGAATTTTTATGAGGTGTCTGAAATATGAAAGATCAGAATTATAGGATTAAATGAATCTTTTGGAGTGTTTCTTGTTGAGTCAAATGTATTGATATATAATTATAGCCTGTTGGAAATTTTTGAGGCTATGTACTGTTTGCTCCTTACAGTCCTAACCAGGGGGCATTTCGTAGAAAAAGAGGTGCAGGAGCTCATTAGCATAACTTATTAGCATAACTTGTTTGCATATGCCACACCCCCTGACATCACCCGAAGTGTGTCAGAAGGCAACACCCACCGCTCAGGCTCCACTGGACTGTTTTGGATTGCTAGCTATGGGGGGGGGGGGGAACGTGCAGATCTGTCCTTGCAGAGGAGGGAGAGCTTGTACCTGAATAAAACTTGGTCTTAAAGGTGCCACTGGACTGTTTTGGATTGCTAGCTATGGGGGGGGGGGGGAACGTGCAGATCTGTCCTTGCAGAGGAGGGAGAGCTTGTACCTGAATAAAACTTGGTCTTAAAGGTGCCACTGGACTGTTTTGGATTGCTAGCTATGAGGGGGGGTGAAACACACAGATCTGCCCTCACAGAGGAGGGAGAGCTTGTACCTGAAGGCAGGGGGGGCTCTGCAACTTACCTGGTCACTTCTTGTTCCTTGGGGTCCGACTGAGGGCTGCTGGGAGCAGGGGGCGGGGCTTGTTGCATGTGCCCACCCCCTGGGCTCCTTACTGCCAGAGCTCCGCTCCTGTGCGCTCCTGCAGGATATGACCCCTGGTCCTAACCATAGTGGCATTATAGACCACACTTCAATAAATAGCTGCACTCACTATGGAGAGGTCTGAGACAATGGACTTCATGCACCCAGTAAAGAGATTAATACTGAACTCAAATTGGTAGTATTTTATGCTTGCCAAAAGTATCCCTCAAGACAAAGAAGGTTCTATTGCTATGTAAAAGGTAAGGTCTCACCATTTACCAAGGTTTTCCAGCATAGCCCAGTTATGGTCTTTTTACTTCTGATTAACAGCTGAAACGCTACAGAGCTAATCCAATAGCTCAAAACCAGTGGAGGTTGTAATTTATTTATGTGCTCCTTAACTGCTATCATCCCTGTGTGGATTTCAATCCTCCCAAAGTGACTCTTGCAATATTTGTCTCTTTTCAGCCTGTAGAGGCAACAGATGATGCCTTCTGGGACCAGTTCTGGGTAGATACAGCTACTTCTGTACAAGATGTCTTTGCTTTAGTTCCAGCTGCAGAAATCAGAGCTGTGAGGGAAGAATCCCCTTCAAATTTGGCTACGTTGTGTTACAAGGTAAGAAGTTGCTGTGTTCTTGGAAGTAATTTTTTTCTTTCAAAATGTAGCTACACAAACCTTTATAGTGGTTTATTTCAAGCTGGTGATCTGAGCAATAACAATAAACTCAGGTGTAATGTTGAGATGGTGAGGAGGAAAGGTATTGGCTTTCTAAAATATGGGCTTATCTTGTAAATGTATTTTTTTAGAACTCTGAATGTATTTTTTTTAGATAGGTAGTACCTTTCTGATGTTTGTTCCTATTTAGGTTGTTTCATGATCTTGAATTTTAGGGTCCCTTTAAGTACTATGAATCCTCCAAAGTATTTGTGCTCTGTTTCTTCAGGTAAGAGGAAGAGAAAGAAGGTCTGATACTCCCTAAGCCTTTTAAAGTATAACTAAAGACGAACACATGTTCCATAGGGTTGCCAGGTTCCCTCCTCACTCTGGCAGGAGGATTTGGAGGGTATTCCAGGGGTGGGTGGGGATGCCTCCAAGCCCTTCCCCAAGCCCTGCCCCCAAGAGCGACCACCCATCAGCCACCCCTCTTGCCCGATTTAAGGGGCTTCAGCTGATTGGTGGGAACCATGTGGCTCGCCGACCAGCTGGACAGCCCTTTAAATCCAGCAGGAGGGAGGGGGAGGTCACGGGCACAGGCTCCACTCATAAAAAGACCCTTTAAAGGGTCCACTCATAAAAAGACCCTGCGCCCGCGACCTCTCCCTCCTTCCCCCCTGCTGGATTTAAATGGCTCTCCAGCAGGTTGGCAGACTACATGGTCCCCGCTGACCAGCTGAAGCCCTTTAAATTGGGCAGGAGGGGAGGGAGGGGGTAGATGGGCGGTTGGTCAGTCTCAGGGGTTGGGGCTGGGGGGCAGGGCTTCCCCCACCTGGACCTGGGGGCTGGCAATCCTGATGTTCCAGGAGCTGGTAGGAGGTTGAAAGAAAAGATAGGAACTAAGTATAGGGAAGTCCAGTGGAGGAAAAACTCTTTCACATTAGTATCCAGTACTGTTCCATCAGTATCACTTGACTTTCAAAGGTAGTTGACTGTTTAAGTGGGTCATGGGAGGGTGTCATTCTGTGTCCTCATGTTATACTGATTTCATTCTTTATTTGACCGTAGTGATTTGTACGACTGTCTCAAGCTTTATTGTTCATGGCTTTTGAAAAAGTAATAATTTTTTTAAAAAAAAGACTTTCAAAGGTCATCAGTTCTCAGGGCTCTTAAAAATTTATGCTAGTGCACAGGAGCTTGAATTTGCTTCTGATAATAGCATTGTGGTGAATGCATGAAGGGATAGGGTTCCCCCAGGCAGCCTGCACTGACTGAGAAGATAAAAAATAGTCCATACTTTTCTATGAAATTGTTTATACTTATATAACATCTTCTAGGTATTAAAGAAAAGCCATCCTTCAAAAAGACAAAACAGCAGTATTATTCATAACGTTAGAGGCTCTGCTTTCAGAGCAAATTTCAGTAAGTGCATAAGAAGATCCATGCTGGATCAGACCAAAGGCCTGGACTGTTAAGTCCAGCATTTTGTTCACACAGTGGCCAACCAGTTGCCTCTACAAAGTCCACAAGTAAGGTGACTGCAACAGCATCCTCCCACCCTTACTCCCCAGCAACTGATATAAAAAGGAGTAGATATCCATCATGACTAGTAACCAATGATAACCCCATCCTCCATGAATTTGTCCACTTCCCTTTTAAAGCCTTCCAAGTTGGCAGCCATCACCACATACTGTGGCAGTGAGTTCCACAATTTAACTATATGCTGTATGAAGAAATACTTCCTTTTGTATGCCCTGAATCTCCTACCCTTTAGCTTCAGTGGATGACCCTGGGTACTAGTATTATGAGAGAGGAAAAAAGCTTTCCCCTGTCCACTCTCTCCACATCATGCATAATTTTATAGACATCTATCATGCCTCCCTTTTCTTCTAAGCTAAACAGCCTTAAGCATTTTAACTAGCCCTCATAGGCAGCTGGTCTAGCCACCTGATGATTTTGGTTGTTCTTTTCTGCACCCTTTTTAAATGTGCATTATCCTTTTTCTGGTGTGTGGTGACCAGAACAGTACACAATATTCCAATGTGCTTTCACCATAGATTTGTATAAGGGCAGTATGATAGTGGTAGTTTTATTTTCTATTCTGTTCTAATTATGTCCAGTATGGAATTTGCCTTTTTCACAGCAGCCACACACTGGGTTGACATTTTTATCAAGCTATCCACTACCACCCCAAGTGTCTATGTGAAGTTGTGATTATTTGCCCAATTATGAACATCTGTCCCAATACAGATCCCTGAGGGGCCCTGCTGCTCACATTCCTCCACTGTGAGAACTGACCATTTATTCCTACTCTGCTTCTTGTTTTGTACCCAATTTCTAATTTGTAAGAGGGCTTGACCTCTTATCCCATTACTCTGAAGTTTGCTTAGGAGTTTTTGTTAAAAGTCTTTGTCAAAATCCTTTTGGAAATCCAAATAGACAATGTCTACTGACTCATTCTTGTCCACTTATTTATTGACACTGCCAAAGAACTCTAAAAGGTTAGTGAGACAGGACTTACCTTTGCAGAAGCCATTATGGTTTTTATTCAGCAGGGACTGCCTTCTATATGTTTGAGAATTTTATCTTTAATAATGATTTCTGTTGTCGTGACTCGCATCCATCCCTGGAGCAATGCTGCCTTCTGCCATCTTGGCAACCACCTTGGTGGGGAGCTTTCAGGCCTCAGAATGAGAGGGAAGGGGGTTCTGGATCATCCGTGTCCTCCTCGTCTCGGCCAGTCAACCCTTTCTGTGTAGCCCAGGTTGCTGACTCTTTCTTTTTCCTCGGTCTATTGTGAGGAGCTCCCTTTTATGTGTCTCTTTTTCCTGCCTCCTACTCTCCCTCACTTCCCATTGGCCTCCCCTCTGCTCCTCAGGCCAGGAGTGCCCCCATTGGCCAACTGTAGAAGAAGAAGAAGAAGAGATTGGATTTATACCCCGCCCTTCACTACAAACTCCTCTCACCAGGCTTCCTCCCCTTCCCAGCTGACCAAGCCCTTGCTGCCCTGAGATCCCATTGGGGCAGGGGTGGAGCCAGGGCATTCCCACATCTCCCTGGGGTGACAATGGGCCTCCCTTCTACAGGGTGTGTTGCCGCTGGCATCTCGAGAGTTGGCACAGCCCCTCTGAGTGCCTGTGTTTTTGCTGCCACCCTGGGCTCTTCTGGCCTCCATGGAGACTGCTGAGACAAAGACTAGACTTAAGCTATTGCAACATAAAATGAATTGCTTATTATCACAGGAAATGGCGAAAAAACTGCTATTTGCAAAGCAAAACCTTTTTGAGAATGCGAATAAACCAACGAGATGGCTCGCTTATAAGATCAGGAAACAAAAAGAAAAATCAATTATACAAGCCTTGAGCAGAGGCGACGGATCAGAAACAAACAGAATTCAAGAAATGAAAGTTCTAGTAGAAAACTTTTACAAAGAGCTATATTGTAAAGCGGAGATTAAAGCGGAACAGATAAAAGAATATCTAAATACTCACAAACCGAAGAAATTTACAGAAAAACAAAGGGAGGCACTTAATCAACCAATTACAATGATGGAAGTGGTAGAGGCCTTAAAAAGACAAAATAAAGGTAAAGCGCCAGGCCCAGATGGACTCCCAATAGAATTTTATCTTATATTCGAAGAACAACTACAATTGCATTTTAAAGATGTTTGTAATAATATATTGAGTAATGGAGAAACGCCAGAATCATGGAAAGAAGCAATAATTTCATGAATTCATAAACAAGAAACAGATAGAAAAGAAATTAAAAACTATAGACCAATTTCATTTTTAAATGTGGACTATAAAATTTTTGCTTCAATATTAGCAGAAAGACTTAATTTTTTTTATCAGAGATAATACACAAGGACCAAGCAGGCTTTTTGCCAAAAAGGCAAATTAAGAACAACTTAAGATGCATTCTGGATGTAATAGAGTATTATGAAGCACATCCGGAAAAACCTTTGGCGCTAATATTTTTGGACGGGGAAAAGGCCTTTGACAACGTTAATTGGAATTTCATGTTGGAAGCTTTGGAAGAGGCACAGGCTGGTGCTAACTTTGTGAAGATGATTCAGGCAATTTATACTAAACAAAAGGCGATGGTAACGATTAATGGGGAACAGACAAAATACATTGAAATCCAAAAAGGGACGAGACAGGGATGCCCTTTATCACCTTTGTTATTTATATTTGTATTGGAAATATTAAACGACTCAGTAAGAGAAAAGAAGGAGATTATGGGCCTGAAACTAAAAGGAGAAGAATATAAACTGTTGGCATTTGCAGATGACCTAGTGTTTATATTGGAGAACCCACTGGAATCAATTCTTACTTTGAAACAAGAACTTGGAGACTATGGACTTGTAGCTGGTTTGAGAATTAATATTAATAAAACTAAAATAATGACCAAAAATATGGAAGAGGAGAGGAAACTCAACTACAAGAAACATCAGGTTTCCAACTACAGAAGAAAATAAAATACCTAGGAATTGTAATGACAAACATATGCAGCTCATTACAAGAGAACAATTATAAAGAATTGTTGAGGAAAACAAAACAGGATCTAGAGAAATGGAAAGACTTACAGATATCTTTGATGGGCTGCATCGCAACAGTTAAAATGAATATACTTCCTAAATGGCTATTTTTA